GAGTGAATATAAACAGTAGGCATCAGTAAAGACCCCAAACATAACCTCCTCTTTTCTAAGTGACTTTAAAGTCACGTATTGCACACAGAGCTTTCTGCTAATGAAATGTGCTACATTAGTTAAATTGCTCCGCTTCGCCTGCCAAACATTTCTGTTGGAAACATCCCAAATTGGACATCAACAGTTTTGCTCAGAGCTGTATCAGCGCTGACTGGCTGAATATATATGATGCATCAATTCTCCACCCGTGTGTTGCAGAGAACTGGACTAACTCCAGTGTGAGAGGGGTTTCTCACAGAGCACCCTGGTGTCTTCAGATGTCTTCAGCTTCACAACTGTCCCTCACAACATCGCGTGTTACGACTCAAAGACGGGCCGAGAAATGAGCAACAAGACCGGTGGAATCCTGGTGCTCAGAGAGACTCAGTGGTGTCTTTATGTGATGTACTGAGGTATGGTAGCATCAGAGGAAAATATGACGATCAACAGGTGAAAGATCGAAGAGAAAAGTTGTCCTATTGTGTTTGTGTGTCCGTCTACAATGTAGGAGTGACCATCTGAAAAAAGAGTACATGTCGACAGTTTATGTTCACAAAAAACCTGAAACATTCAGGCTTGACACGAGCTGATAGCGGTTACTTTACAGTGTTTTAACCCTTTGAACTCTACAATAGAAACTATACTTAAGTGCCTGCATTTGTATTTTTTGGTGGTGGGAATCACCAGAGGCTCCATGATATGATAAAATCACAATACTTCATTTTAAATGTGTTTGTATTAATCATTTACATAATAAAAAAAAACTGAAACTTGGCACTGTGTGACGATGTGATATTGCCACACATACTATGCTGTATCCATTTTTTTTCCCACCCATAATATTTTTGCTTATTGTGATGTCATTTTCAAATGCTTCCTATCCCTAAAAAAAAAAAAAAAAACCTGAGCTAAAAAGTTATGGAAGTCAGTAAGTCATAATAGTTGATAAAAGTATTCACATTGTGTGGAAAAAAAAAAAAAAAAATTCAGTTCAGTTCCTCGGCCGCTTAGTTTATGTGAAGTCACGGTTTGACTCAAGTTTCTGTTTCTTTTCTGGAGATCCACAGTGCTCACGCCAGGAAAGGAAAAAGTTCAACAAGGTTTATTGAGAATCCAAAAAAGGAAACAGAACTACAGGCCAAGTCCTTCTAAAATGACATTTCGTGCGGTCCACTACGACTCAGTGTCTATATATTCTCATGTATTAGCTGTAATTATACCTCGACCCTGCATGATCCAAGTCATCCCAGACTTCATGTTGTCTGAACCCACAATGCTGTGATCGTGAGGTCGGAGTGAGAATGTGCTGCGTGCTCAGGAACATGAACAGGATATCTCAAACACACATTCAGAGCATTTCTTTAAATTTGGCACAAACGTCCCCTTGGACTGAAGAATAAACTGATGAGAATTTGGTGTTCCAAGGTCAAAGGTCAGTGTGACCTCAGAAAATATGTTTGTAACCACTACTGAAGAATTCTCAAGCTAAATGTGACAAAATTTCACACAAATGTCCAAAAGGATGAGGTGATTGGAAAGGTCAAAGGTCAGCTTGACTGTGACATCATCATGTTTTAATGTCATATCTCAGGAACAGAAGGGGAGACATTTGGTCAGATACTGAATTGGTGACTCTAATCTTGAACCTGTGCTCATTGTATAGATCTTCTGTGTGTGAAGCATCCATGTTTTAGAATTTGCAGCGTCTTTGCAGCAACATCCATAAATGAAGCATGTCCGTCTGTCATGGTTACGTATGACTGTGGACAGACATGAATGCAAACTGTAACTACAACCGGACTGGTCTGTGGAGGCATACAACCCCAAGACAGTAATTCTAGGTTTAATCTTTTTTCTTTTAAAACTCGACAATGATATGACTTATGATTGTGAAATACTTAGTAATATGCATTTTGAAACTGCTCTGTAAATAAAGATGATGGTTGCCACTGAGACACTTCTGAGTCATTTCTCTTAATCGGGAATGTTTCTAAGCAAAAAACCACAACTCGACTGAATCTGAGATATGAAGCTGACGCAGGCGTCGAAACACACCAAGTGCTTAATGCCTCACCACTTTTTTGTCTCTTCCTCAGAAGAGGAGGTGTAGATTATAATCAACCTACTGCATTTCATCATGTAGCATATTTATTGTAGACTGTTTGGTTACAGAGGACAAAGCATCAGACGCTGGTGGAGGGAATTCACTCAGGCTGGATCTTACAGCTTTCAAAGGTAAAACTTTGATGTTGCTCTTTCCTTGTATAGAGAGATTTTAAATGAGGATAAAAGACCTGCAAAGAGTTATGGAAATGAGTTAGACTGTAACAAGTGTACAGAGTACTGTGTTTAAACCTGTGGTGGCAGTTTCAACAAGACAAAACACATCCAGTCAAATCCAGCGTCTGCAGAAGGACTCTCAACAAACAGTCAAGAACGAGTGCAAAGAGCGAGGCCTGAAGAGAGAAGATGTCAGATACTGATAATTAATGACAGCTGCTGAGGTCAGGGATCTATAACCAGCATCATCAGATGGGTGACAGAAGTTTGGTTACCTTCTTGCATCTACCCAGAGATTTTATTGGATTCCACTCAAAGATCGAACAGCTTTTCTTTTCCTCCTCCTTATTTTTCCAGGTTTAGCAGTTAAGTTTGACAATTCAGTTAGTTTCATCACTTCACTCGTCTTTGGTCATCAGTAGGCAGGTGGAAAACCTTAACATAACAAAAACAGCAAAGAAAAACTTTCTATTTTATATATGGTACCATAAATAAATCTAAATAGTAAACACATTTGTAAACATTCAAATATATTTTACACCAGTGCCTTTTCTTCAATATATTTCCCCTATTAAATAAAGTGCAATTAAAGTTAACAACACTCCCTAACATTTTAACATCAGGTAATGTATTTAATATATATATATATATACACACATACACACATACACACATATACAGTACAGGCCAAAAGTTTGGACACACCTTCTCATTCAATGCGTTTTCTTTATTTTCATGACTATTTACATTGTAGATTCTCACTGAAGGCATCAAAACTATGAATGAACACATGTGGAGTTATGTACTTAACAAAAAAAGGTGAAATAACTGAAAACATGTTTTATATTCTAGTTTCTTCAAAATAGCCACCCTTTGCTCTGATTACTGCTTTGCACACTCTTGGCATTCTCTCCATGAGCTTCAAGAGGTAGTCACCTGAAATGGTTTTCCAACAGTCTTGAAGGAGTTCCCAGAGGTGTTTAGCACTTGTTGGCCCCTTTGCCTTCACTCTGCGGTCCAGCTCACCCCAAACCATCTGGATTGGGTTCAGGTCCGGTGACTGTGGAGGCCAGGTCATCTGCCGCAGCACTCCATCACTCTCCTTCTTGGTCAAATAGCCCTTACACAGCCTGGAGGTGTGTTTGGGGTCATTGTCCTGTTGAAAAATAAATGATCGTCCAACTAAACGCAAACCGGATGGGATGGCATGTCGCTGCAGGATGCTGTGGTAGCCATGCTGGTTCAGTGTGCCTTCAATTTTGAATAAATCCCCAACAGTGTCACCAGCAAAACACCCCCACACCATCACACCTCCTCCTCCATGCTTCACAGTGGGAACCAGGCATGTGGAATCCATCCGTTCACCTTTTCTGCGTCTCACAAAGACACGGCGGTTGGAACCAAAGATCTCAAATTTGGACTCATCAGACCAAAGCACAGATTTCCACTGGTCTAATGTCCATTCCTTGTGTTTCTTGGCCCAAACAAATCTCTTCTGCTTGTTGCCTCTCCTTAGCAGTGGTTTCCTAGCAGCTATTTGACCATGAAGGCCTGATTGGCGCAGTCTCCTCTTAACAGTTGTTCTAGAGATGGGTCTGCTGCTAGAACTCTGTGTGGCATTCATCTGGTCTCTGATCTGAGCTGCTGTTAACTTGCCATTTCTGAGGCTGGTGACTCGGATGAACTTATCCTCAGAAGCAGAGGTGACTCTTGGTCTTCCTTTCCTGGGTCGGTCCTCATGTGTGCCAGTTTTGTTGTAGCGCTTGATGGTTTTTGCGACTCCACTTGGGGACACATTTAAAGTTTTTGCAATTTTCCGGACTGACTGACCTTCATTTCTTAAAGTAATGATGGCCACTGGTTTTTCTTTAGTTAGCTGATTGGTTCTTGCCATAATATGAATTTTAACAGTTGTCCAATAGGGCTGTCGGCTGTGTATTAACCTGACTTCTGCACAACACAACTGATGGTCCCAACCCCATTGATAAAGCAAGAAATTCCACTAATTAACCCTGATAAGGCACACCTGTGAAGTGGAAACCATTTCAGGTGACTACCTCTTGAAGCTCATGGAGAGAATGCCAAGAGTGTGCAAAGCAGTAATCAGAGCAAAGGGTGGCTATTTTGAAGAAACTAGAATATAAAACATGTTTTCAGTTATTTCACCTTTTTTTGTTAAGTACATAACTCCACATGTGTTCATTCATAGTTTTGATGCCTTCAGTGAGAATCTACAATGTAAATAGTCATGAAAATAAAGAAAACGCATTGAATGAGAAGGTGTGTCCAAACTTTTGGCCTGTACTGTATGTATATATATATATATATATATGCTCACAGCAGCGTAGGCTCTGCATAGAGCTTACGCACATGTGTAAATCCCGCTACAGTCAGTTGTTGAGAGGAGACAGCAGAGACAGACAGCAACAGAAGCCCCTGAAACATTTTCATGATATATTGGTAAAGGTCAACAAGTCAGAGAGCACAACACAACCTGCACATGACGATAACACAGATGGTTCACGGTCATGTAAACCTCCTCATCCAGAATCAGAGAGCAGAGGTTCATTTGACAAGTAGTGAGGCCTTATGGCGTTGGTGATGTCACTGAACAGTGTTGGGTAACAACATGCTGCCTTTCTATAACCTGATCTCTTCATCTACAGGTTTCACTCTGAAGAATGGAAGATTTAAACATGAACAACCCTTCACAGGACAACAGCAACATCACCACCGCCTACGGTTATAATGGAGAACCTGGATTAAGCATTAAAGTGGTGACATACATAATCATTGGTATCGGCCTTCCTTTGACCCTGGTGGCCATCTGTGCTCTTTATTCTCTGGTATGTGCCATGTGTCTCTCTGTAGAGGATCTCTAGATGGGCTGGGGGTCAAGTGTCAGAGCGCTGGGATGTAGCGTACTGTCATGGTCAAATGGTGCAATGAGTCTTAAAACAACCCAGAAATGAGTAAGCATTTTTGCACCCTTACTTCCTGTGTCTTAAAGTCAGTGTGGGGTCACACCTGAACTGACTCTTCAATCCTGTGCAGGCGTCACCTCCTGACAGACTCATTAACACTTCACGTTAGTGTAGTAGAGAACAGAAGCACTACTTAAAACACCACACTTAGAGTTAAACCTAAAAGGTCTGCCAGATGTCTTATAGACGTAAAACCCTCCAGATTCCGCCCACCGATCTGACTTCTCCTTCTATTCCAAAGATGTATGGCGAGGCTGAGCAACTGAAGTGCTGTACGCTTTACGATGAATTTAGACATTTAGAAAATTTTTTAAAAATAATTAGTGTCAGCTGCAACCTGCGTGCTCTCTTCCTATTTCGTCCTACCTCAATAAAAGTCCGTCCAGCAGGTTCCCCCCGCACCTGTCGCTCATCAGGTAATTAGGTCATGTGCCTCAGGGTGTGGGTTTGTCTTTCAGGGTCAAGACAGTTTAAGTCCACTGTTTTAAAAACTCACCTCAGACGGGACTAAAAATAAAACAATCATAGCAACCCTGGTAAAATCATATAAAACACACAAGGTAAAATGAAAGCACAGCACACTAATAAAAAAAGGGGAAGCCGGGTGGGAAAAGGTAGCTGGTTACTAACGCCACCAGAGGGCACTGTCTCATGTGGGGGAATTGTTTTAGAGAGCGGTCCGGAAAACGGAAGTCGCCATCTTGTTTACTGCAGTGTGGACACGCTACGTTTCCCGATGTTTATGGACTGTTTTGGAAAATGCTGACAGATAAACAGGCTGTGTCTCATGATAGCCTTGAGAGAAACCCGTTGGATGTCATGTAGTTAACGTTCCGCCGTTAACACTGTTTGTGCTCCTGAACAGATGCACACTGTCGAGAGAACCACTATAGTTATTTTTGCACTCTGTTGCTAGCCTTAACTATTCAGTTGTATTTTTGATAGTAGTCTGCAGATTTTTTTTTTTTTTTTGTATACTTTTGTACTAGACTGGAAGACTCATTTTGCACACTTGTGTACTAGCATCCTGATTTCAGTTGTCCACCTTGGAGAGGGGTTAGGCACCAGTACCTCAGGGTTATCAGTATTGCTACTGTGTGAATGTAACAAATTAATTAGGCAGGTCTAAAGGGTTACATAGTACAGAGCAGACTGTTAGGGGTTACTGGTTTTTGTTTATCTAAGGGGACTGCAGATACAGCAGAGAACAGTCTGCTAGTTTTATTTTGAAACTCTTATTATTTATTTTATTGTAACCAAACACCACATTCTTTTGTTCAGAATAAAGACCCCCAAAAGATAGTTCTGTGTCCTGTGCTGATCCAACTCCGCCAGGCTACACATGCAAATAGAAAACAAACACATGGCTCGGACATGAATTTGTGTCCCTGTCACAGACGGCTTTACGAAACATCACATCATTAGCTATAAAAAGCTTTTGTTATAAATGACATGATTCTCTCATAAATTGGACTGCATTCTTATTAACAGAAACTTGGCTCGATCAAACGTGGTGTGAGGAACTTACCAAGGCGTCGCCCTCTAACTACAGTTCCCTGCATTGTCCCACGTCCACTGGAAGATGTAGAGGGGGTTGCTCTCTTATATAGTGACTTTTTAAAGTGTAAACCCATTTCCTTTTGTAACTATCCATCTTTTGAATATGACAGTAAATTCTCCTGTTACTGTTTCTATCACCCTCCTAAACCTATACAGGGTTTATCAGAGGAACTGGGTGAACTGATACCTACAGACACAGCTGACAGCACAGTTATCGCAGCTGATTTTAATACACATACTGACAATAACAGCAACTGTGCAACTAAATTTAGCATTGGCTGATTATTTTAGTCTTTATCAACATGTCACTGTTCCACTCAGGTGAAGAAGCGTCACATGAATGAAAACATTGCCAACATGTTTATTCAGGGGTATTCCCAGTGTACATTAACTTCCCTGTCTTCCTGTGATGACGTGCTAGATGCTTTCTCTGTCACGATTTCTCAAATTTTGGACCAAGTTTCACAAGTAGAAACTAAATGGATATGTAGCCCTGGAGGAACTCTGACAATGTGAGGATGCAAAACAAAGTCTGAGTGCAAAAGCTCTCATCAGGCTAATCATGAAATTTACAAAAATGCAATCTAGTCTTATAACAATGAAAGAAAAAGGTTGAGACATTCTTACATTTCACAGTTAACTGCCAATAATTAAAGTAAGCCTTCCTTTCTGTTCCACACTAAGGATGAACTGATGAATCCAAAGAGATTACTTCCCTCAGAATTTACCTCCTCAAGATATATAATGAATTTGCAGATATATATATAAGATATATAATGAATTTGCAGATATATATATAAGATATATAATGAATTTGCATCTATCTTTCTGGACAAACTCGCTCAGATTAGTACCCTAACTTCTGACAACAATTAATCTACAGTATCTTCACCTCCTCAACAGTGTGTAACAAAAAATGTAATGCGTAATTTCCAGTCCATAAATCCTCCACCTGCTCTTTCACATCTCCATTAAACTGTTTACTTCAGTTTATCATAGTTTTTTGGATGACGTGGTAAACGTCACTCATTTATATTTAAAATGCAATACAAAAACAGTTTCATATCTTATCTATCTTAACTTAAACACTAGAGTTCACTAAAACAATTTCAGTAATAATGTACGAGCAATTTCGGGCAAAAGAGGACGTTTGGTCAGCCTACACAAATGTGTATTTTCATCTAACTGTACTGTGCAACAGTTAGAATAAAGTTTTTCTATTTGTATAATTGCATTTGTGTTTAGTATATACTTGTTTAAGTATAGCAAGTATAATGAATATAATGTAGGAATCGGACCATTAAGAATGAATCGGACTGTTAAGAAGGAATCGGTAAGAAATCGGAATAGTTAAAATCCTATCGAGTCCCAACCCTAATCTTTGCACAAGACAACTTTAAGATGTACACTCCACAGGGCTGGGCTTTATGGAGGAGTGGTAGGAGGTGAAGTTCAGAAACAAATTACAACTGTTGGTTAACTTTTGTTTTCCTGCAGGTGCGAAAGGATCACGTTGCTCCGATCTACATCATCAACCTTCTCTTTTCTGACCTCGTTCAGCTCTGCTGCATAATCGTTGAGGTTGAACGACCCAAGAACTTTACGATATACATTGTCTTCTTTCACACATACATCTATTGTCTGTTTGCCAGCATTGGCTTCATGGTGTGCATCGCCCTGGAAAGGTGACTATCTGTCTGTCCAGCATGTGTAGAGTGACTTCTGTGTCTCACAATTGTATTCTGAAGCTGTGTCTGTCTTGTATTTCAGGTATTTGGTCGTCGCCTGCCCACTGTGGTACCACTTCAAACGAACCATCAAGATCTCTGTGCTGGTCTGTGTCGTGGTCTGGGTCTACCCTGTTATTTGTCTCCTCATTCTCTTGTTCTGGCATTATAAGACTGCAGAAATCGTCTCCATCTTCTTTTTACTCCTTCCCCTCCCGCTGCTCATATTCTTCCTGGGTGGGACCCTCAGAGCTCTGTCTGCCTCCATCTCGGTCCCATCTGATGAAAAACGACGAATAGTAGGAATGTTGGTCCTGGTGCTGCTGATTTACATGCTGCTGTTCCTGCCCACTGTCATTTTGTATTTGGCAAAGGGACTCTCAATTTACGATACTCTCAACAGCCTGTTTCCTGTCTTTCTTAGGTTGAGCCCTCTTGCAGACTTGGTTCTGTATATTTTCATGAAGAAAGGAACCATAGACAAGCTCTTGGCCTCTGTGTGTTGTTGCCGAATGGACAGCAATGAAACCAGCAGTTCAGCAGTATAAATGATGTCCACCAGGCCAGTCGCCAGAATGTTGGCATTGTACATTTCTGCAAATCACAGATACGTTTCATACGTATCAAATCAACATTTCCAAAGTGACACAGTATATGAGCTGACTTTGTCATCAGTAGCTGGAGAGGATGGCGTGGCACCTAGGAGAGACACCTGCCAAGCAGCAGACCACTGTTTGAGATCAACACCAGTTGGTTTTTACCAACTGTCTCTGTGTTTCCAGATGTGGTGTTTTTAACAACCCACTTGACAAAGCTAAGTTGTTATTAGTGAGCTAATGTGTCACACAGAGTCTTGTATGCAAGTAAACATCTCTTTTCACTAACACAGCACCTTTATGCAAAACACATCACACACACATACTCAATGGCTTTCAACATAACTACACTCAGAGAGGGACCTCAAAGTTCCTGCTCCACATGTTTCCTTTGTTCCTTTGTCCTGGCTGTCCACATGTGGTCAGGTAGAACCTCCCAGCTTTGAGTGGCCATCTTTGATTTGGCCAACTTCTTTGTTGTTATCTGTTCTGTCAGCCAATTAACCTTGTTTTAGATGTACAGGAAGTTTTGAACATGAGCAGAGATCTTTCTGGAACATGTTTGAGCATTTAAAGTCCACGGACTTATAAATTAATTATAATGAACTGCTGTGTCATCGATGTTAGAAGGTGCCACATGCAAATTTAAAGAGGTTAGAATGAATATGAGAATGAATGAGAATGAATATAAATGTTAGTAAAAAACTGACACCGTATGAAAGTTTGAATTTCAAATTTCTATATATATAATTTAGATTTCATTTATATTTAAATTATATTTGTTTATTTTTACTTCTGCATTTTGCTGTGTTTGAATAAATGTTTCTGAATCATACTTGTTGTCTATTTCATATTGCATTGTGTCTTAAACTCCAAAATCCTGCTATCGCTACTACTGATATGGACATTTTGTTTGCAGTTATTTTTATTTATTAATCAGACTTCCAAATTGATCATTTAGTGTAGTTTAAGGAACTATTACAATCAATTGTTAATCAATTTTTTTAATACTTTGAACCATGGAGGGCGGAGGCTTTGCTGTTAAGTAGTAAAGTGGAGGAGGTACTGCCTGCTTCAGATAAAAGTGAGCAAAAAAAGAAAAGGAAGCTGAGTTGTGCAATTTATCTCTCCTTGTCACTACTGCAGATAACTTCCAGTCACTGGTCTATGTTACACTTTATAGCCGTGGCACAGCAGCATTTAACCAGTAAGTTCAAAGTATTTCATTGGTTAGCATTTATAAATCAGGAACTACCTTGAACACGTTTATTTGTCTTTATTATTCCTTTGAGTTTTATTCCTACATAAAAAATGCTTGTCATTTAACCCGTGGGTGCACATGCTCTATTAACATGTCTTATAATAATCAAACTGTCTTCCGCATGTCACTGAGAGGCATATATGATGTTTTAAACAGTAATCACAGTATTTTTTGCCAAGCATCCCTCAGTGGTTCAGTTTTACTATCATATGTATTGTCCTGCATTGGAATCATGAGTGGATGAGTAGATGAGCAGGTGCTGACACACCTGCTGCCCTTTGCTTTGTTAAACAGGTCACTCTGTGAAGAATGGACTTCTTCAGCAGTCACTACATCTACAACTTCAATTACACCTTACTGCATGACAATGATTATAACTATGCAAATTACACCATGTTTGAAGAGTTTGACTTTCAAAAGATAAAAACAGCAACAGTCTCATATGTGATCGCATGGATCGTGATCTTGATCGGTTTTCCATTGACCTTATTGGCCATCTACGCTCTGTATTCACTGGTAAGTAAAGAACTATCAAGCTTTCCTGTGGAAATTTAGAAATCTGAATCATCGCAGCGATCTACTAAGTGTTGCGGTCCAAAACAGCCAGGATGTTGTGCCCATAGCAACAGCATTTTGATGACATCAACATAACAAGGCTTAGTCAAGTCAAGTCAAGTCAAGTTTATTTTAAATAACACATTTTATACAACAAGCATAAACTCAATGTGCTTAAAAAGGCAAAGCAGATAAAATCATACATGCCAAGAACATACCATTTCATAAGCAATACATATATAAAACATATAAGATAAAAATAAACAAGAACATTTAGTGCTAAATTCCAGTTTTTTTCACACTGTTCACATTCATGTTTGAAGTGACCCATATCGGACATCAGTGTGAGCCATAGGCTGTTTATAAAGATGGATGACACGTCTCCACTTACTCCCACTGTACAAAAATGAAGCTAAAATATCCCAGATCCGGCCACTGCCATCCTGTGCTGGTGACATCATTGGGAGATCGATCACGAGATTGATCACGAGAACACCAAGTGACACACATAGCTATCAATCATGATGTCAAACATCTGTTTTAAAGCATCAAATAATCAATTATAACCAAACTTATCAGAAAAACGAACATTTGAACATTTAAATAATTTAAAGTTATTTAGACATGTAGTTTGATCTTTTAGTTTGGCCCCTTTCCCATCCTAACTGATACTGCACCCAGCCACCAGGGGGCGATCCAAATGTTTTGGCTTCATTTTTGGCAAGCTGTCAAGTCAACCATTTTTATAAACAGTCTATGGTGTGAATGAATCTCTGCTGTCAGACACCTCACATGCGACCAATAACATCACACACATGCACACTAGAACAACAACAAAAAAACTGCACATTTACGAGGCAGGCATCTGTGCAAAAAATCGATGTGGCAACAGCACAAGCCTCATTTCCCAAATGATTTGCTGCAGAGATCAGATGATAATTCGTTATAGGTTGAGGGTAAGAGTAGGGATGGGTATCGTTAGGATTTTTATGAATCCGATTCTGATTCCGGTTCTGCTTATCGATTCCGGTTCCTAACGATTCCTTATTTCGATTCCAAAATAGTGAAAAATAAAATGTCAAATGTTTATTTAACAAAAGTAACTTTATTCCTTTACCTTTTAAGAAAATTTTTAACAAAAATAAAATCCTGTCTGAGCAGCATTAGTGCTAAAATACTATTCACTGTATAACAGCATATAAACATCAAGAAATAAAGTAACTGTTCTGATGTTAGGAGATCAGTAATACAGTGTGGCAAAAATACACAATTGTAAGTTGAAGCTGAAAATATTTTAAATGAATAGAGAATGCCTATTTTGTGTTTATTCTATTTATAGATTCGTTTTGATTTCATTCTGAACAAGGTCATTCATTTTATAGTTGATATATGTCATTGATGTTTGCAGAGAAACACACTTGCACGATACTAAATAGTGTATTTTTGCCACAGGATTTAGGATGGAAATAGGCGACGTTACATTATCTAACTTAACGTTACCTGAATGATGGAGACTCGATGACTGAGAAGGGGTGTACGTTAGTCCTTTAACCACAAACAGTTTTATCTTTTGTCAGCCTCTTTTTCGCCAACGTGAACGGTGTCTCTGTTTGGGCTGCTGGTGACGTACCAACGTTGCTTGTTAGCAATATTAGCACTGGCTGTGTCTGGTGTTGACGACTGCAATACAGCATTTCCTACGGTCCATCTTGCATAGTTAGCCCAATTAGCCATAGCTTCTTCTTCTGCAGTTTCTCTGGTGTTTTTTGTTTTGTTTTTTCAGTTTCTCTGGTGTGTTGAAGTTCAGCGTGAATGCGTGACGTAGTCACATAACAGACAGGTCCTGGCAGATATGTATCTGAATAAGCAGCCACTGTAAGAAAGGTTACTAGTGCGTCTAGGAACCGATAAGCAGAACCGAAAATAAATAATTTTTATGGGTACCCGGTACCCGCAGTTTTTGATTCGGTTCCTACTTGGAACCGAATTTTGCTACCCAACCCTAGGTAAGAGGTACAAAGGAACACGAGAAGCCATAGCGGTAGCTTTATAAGCAGCTATTGTTGTAGTTCTGTGGGGAGAGAGGTGTGGGTGTGGGAGGAGTCAGGAGTCGTGAATTTCATTAAAGAGCCTCCAAACCTGAGGATGTCCAGGGCTAATCTCCAATATCACCGTCAGTGCTCTACGACAACTCTGTCACAGCACGTAGACGAGCTGTCCCCACCAGAAAGCATCTAACAATTGGGCAGTTTTGGTTGGCGACTGGGACAGCGTACCGCAGCAGCAGAGGGGCTACGGCAGCGTTCTGTAGTAAAAACAGACCGTTCCTACACTGTATGGTGGGTGATCTGTGCCTTTGTAGTGAAGTATGACATAGGAAAACCATGGGTGTATGGGAAAAAAACAATGTGTACTCATACGATGGTGCATATGATATTCTACAAATGAATGCCCTGTGAAGTTAAGTTAAGGTTAGGCAAGTAAAGGCTACTGTGTAAAAGCGTGGTTACGATGTACCTTAAAATTACTCATGTTCGCACGCTTCCGTCCTGTGTTTTGTGACACATCCACCAACTCTACCTGCCTCCTGAAGGTTCTGCTTCTGTCTTCACTCCCGTCAGCACATTGGTCATGTGATCGCAGCCTTAACAAATACATGGTTCATCATTACATGGGATGTGTAAGAATTTTGGTGAATTACTTTTCGTTTGAAAATGTATTTATAGTTCATGAGAACTGCCTGCGAAAAACACACATGAATTCCAACATGAACATTCGCATTGCAGTCGTGTGGCAGGTGATCAGATATGTATCAGATGTATCAGGACCACATATTAAAGTGTCCCAGATCAGACTGATAAAAAACTATTTTGATAACATAAGATTTGTGTCAAATGAGAGCAAAAAATTAGATTTGGGACACATTTGCTTTTAATGTAATCGCAGCCTTCATCAGTTGTTTTGTTTGTTTTATGTGGCGATCTGCTGTTAGTTTGTGTTGTCAGGATGTTTTTATATAGTCCCTGCAACCTTTTTCATTTCTCACTCCAACTGCAGGTGCGAGAGGACCATGTGGCTCCAGTCTATGTTATCAACCTCCTGATCTCTGACCTCATCCAGATGTGCTGCTTAGTGATCTGGGTGGCAAATTCCGGGACATCTGCAGTCTTCTATGTCTTAAAATTTATCTACTACATTGGTGTGATGGTTAGTGTTGGCTTCATGGTGTGTATTGCCCTGGAAAGGTAGGTGGTGTGTGCATGGGCACTGGTAAAAGAAACACTGTGAAAGCCAGAAATAGGTAAATATTCTGACTGACCAGCGCTCCATCTCTCCTGTATTCCAGGTATCTGGTCATTGCCTGCCCGCTGTGGTACCGCTTCAGACGAAGCATCAAGTTCTCTTTGTTTGTCTCCATTTTCGTCTGGGCCTTATCTTTAATTGAGTTCCTTATCACATGGTTAACATCTGAATTGCACCCACTCGTTTTCCGCACTGTCTTCCTCCTCCTCCCGTTTCCTCTGCTCATCTTCTTCCTGGCTGGAACCCTCAAAGCTCTGTCAGCGGCCATTTCTGTTCCTCTGAAAGAAAAACGGCGAATTGTGGGGACTTTAGTTCTGGTGCTCCTAAACTACACCGTGCTGTTCTCCCCCTGGGTCATTCGGCTCCTGGAACTGTTATACAGACCTTCACATCATGATGTCCATGATTCAGATTTATACCTGCCATTCCTTCAGTTCAGTCCTCTTGCAGACCTGGTCCTGTATGTCTTCATGAGGAAAGGAGCTGTAGACAAGCTGTTGGCCCACCTGTGCTGTAGGAGGATGACAGGAGAAGAAGAGCAGGGTCAGGTCACCTCCACGGATAAAAAAGACACAGAAGAAACATGCTCGGTGTAGACAGAGCAGGGGAGTGAAAGGCTGAGTGAAGTGACCAACCTTCTGCCCCATTACCTCACTGTCCTAAAAACTTGGACATGTTGGACAACATGCTCTTGCGCCTCCTTTTGACATTGCTCTGTGTGCATCTGCAAGTCAACCAAAGTCCAATTACTATTATAAGAACATCCATCATCTCCCACGTTAGCAAAACTCCACCTTCTTTTTTCTGTTCCAAGTATGTTTAAAAAATTTAACCTTTGCTTCACACCTGACAGGCTAACTTCCTAAGTCATTTGTTGCCATGCATGAGTGCTCCTGTTTTGTCTCTGTTCTGCTCCATGTGCGTATTTCCTGAGACTGGACTGCGAAAATCAGTCAAAATGACCTTTTCTGCCATTTCTGCAGTGGCATTTTTATCCATCCTTTTAAAGATGAATTTCCTTGTGTTGACGCTATGGGCATAATCTGTATACTATGTGGCAAAAAAGTTATAAAACAAATCTGTGTTGAAACGAGGCATTAAAGGGCCAGTATGTAAAATGGGTTGAAAACAGTGACATCAGTGGCCAAATTCTAGATGGCAGGGCTCACTCGCTCACCCCTCCCGTCGGGTAAATGACGGTGGCCTTGTAGGGACAAAAAGCCTTGCGCACGAGTTTTTCAGGAGTAGGTCTATCTAGCGATGAGGTGAATGTTTATTTAGAAATCTAAACCATGTTACGATATTGTAATGAATCCCTCACGAGCAGGAGACCAGAGGAGCGTTCGGGAAAAAGGCCCATTTATTTGACCACTCCAGAAACTCCAGTAACACTCCACTCCGTCCCAAACTCTGACTCTTCTGGCGTAACAGACACACTTCATAACTTTACACACATACTCGTTTACCATTCTGAGTGGGGACCCCCCTCCCCTCTCTGCTCCACCAATCTCCAGTCTGCACACTGACTGACAGCGTAGCCTGTAAACAGAGCTCAGCTGTTTATTTAGCCTAGCAATATCTCCGGACTATAGTAGCTGCAATGGACGACTTTGAACGCAATTTTGAAGAGTTTCTTGTAGCGGACACAGACCCAGAGCCATACCTGTTTGAGCCGGAGCACACAGATGAGGAACTCCATGTGTTTGATGCTGAGCGGGTGAGAAGAGAGGCTGAATGCACAGAATGGGATTCGGTGCTACTGCTACCATTGTTGGGGAGATATATCATCAGGAGGAAAAGCGCCGCAGAGAGTGCATCACAAGGATGTGGTCCATTCGCAAACTTTATAACTAAAAAAACTTTTCACTACTCTCTATCGATGAACTACTAACACACTCTGCTGTTTCTTCCTCCTTCTTCCTTCCGCTGTCTTCGTTGCGGGCTACAAAAAACAAATGAATTTTATTTTATAGCGATCATAAACTTGTATAAACATATTAATGGGTAGAATATTCAGATTCAGATTGACAATAAACCATGCCAAATATTACACACTGGCCCTTTAACACCCACCTCATCAATCTTTAAAATGCCCCATGCAAGTGAAGGTGTTGGTCCCCAGCTGATCGGACCTTCAGATACGAAGAGTTGGACCAAAAAATCCTTCATAACAGACTTTTTTTTATTGCACTCACACTGAAAATAAGCTCCCAGACATGATCTGGAGGAAGGATTTTTCAGCTCACATGAGAACTTCAAACATTTTTTTGAACTGGAGACTAGAACCCGGTCTTACTACCAAGTCATCAAAATCCGGAGCTTGGGCAGTGACTCGTGGCGAGGGACACTGATAAAGAAAGCAAACACGGCAGGAGGACAACAAAAGTTAAGGCGGCAAAAGTCCGAGTAGAGTGGGCAGGAGGGGTGGTGGATGGGTCCAACAGCCTCCCGTAAGACTGTAAAGCCAAACCCTGTTCTTTTTTCCTCAACCCAAACATGTGCGTTTGTTGTTGAAGGAAAAAAAAAAGTCAATTCACAGTGTTGTACTGACATAGTGCTTTTATTTTGAAAGAGACTGTATGCAAACTGTACATTTCCTGTGAAAACAGAAGTGTATTTTGAAAACAGACAATGCATGTAACAGGCTGAATTTGACACGGCGTCCCAGAACGTCAACAACCAACACACCCAGGGTACCTTGGACGTCATATGTGGACGTGGAAAGTCCATGACCAAACGTGGACATGTGACGAGGTCACAGTGAGGATGAGTTGGAGACAATGGCCCAATCCCAAAATCCCAAACCAGCCCCCCCCTCCAACCCTATCCACTACCCCTCCATTTGTGCGTTCACGCTGAGGTCCACCATATTAAGGGCCGTTCCAAACCAATTACCACTGAGTGGAAGTGGCTTGTCAAACCACTGCAGGCTCCCCGATGGTTTCAGCAGAAACTACGTCCAGACAATGGAGGAAACATCATTCAAGTGTAAGTTCCGTCTACTTTTTCAAGTATTTTAGATCAAACACACACAGTTATTTCCCTCACACTGACATCTCAAACTAAATCATAGAATATGTAGAGTTAAAAGATCACCAACAAAAACATAATTTACAAGGAGATAATCACATTGTCTCTAAGGTTGCTTGACTTGTAGCAAACCCACAAATACCTGTATGCATAAATAAACATCATCTACCTCATATCTCATGTGTTGAGATATTATGTGTTTACAGGGACAGTGGAGCAAACAAAACAGTTGATAGAGCTCAGAATGAAAAATGACAGCCTCTTCACAAAGAAGAGAAATGCTGCAAAACAGGCATGGGCGTAAGTATTTGATTAATGGTTGTCTGTCTCTATGTGTCAGCCCTGTGAGAGTCTGGCGACCTGTCCAGGGTGAACCTTGCCTCTTGCCCAATGTCAGCTGGGATAGGCTCCACCCCCCCGCGACCCTCAAGAGGATGAAGCGGTTAGAAGATGGATGGATGGAATTTCACATGGCACTCTGTAAATCCTGTTTGTAGAAAATATGAACAAGGTTATTCTTTTAATTATATAACATTGTAACTCCTATGTTTAATTTTATGTCATATTTTGTTCTTGATTCAACCCATTTCCATTCCTATTTAAATGTTTTGTCCTTCAGATTGCATTGTTTTGCTTCTACATTCTGTCCTCATGTCTGTTCTTTATTTATGTAAAGCACTTTGAATTGTCTTGAGTTTAAAATGTGCTGTACAATTAAAGCAGCCCAGCTTTACCTTGCTTAAATGAGCTAGGTTCTTACACCAAAGACAAACATCTTCCTCTCCTTTTTTATGTTGCGTTGTACAGTAGCTTTGTGATTAAGGAGATGGGGCTGCAGGACGCCATGTCCCACAAGCAGGCCTCCAAAAAGTGATTAAATCTTAAAAAGAAATAAGGTGAATCATGTTATCTCTGGTTAATCGTCAGTGTTATTGCTGGTGAGAGCTAACATACTGTATATTATTACCCACAGGAACTGAGAAAGCCCCCAACAGGGTCAGGAACTGACCGGAGAGAGGACACTCCAAGCACCTGGCCTTATTATCTTGAAATGCATGAGGCACTGGGGGCAAGGCCTTCAATATCCCCTCCAGTGCTTGTGTCATCATGCTTGCCAGACCTCACCATTCCCCCTCCCTCCCCTGCAGAAAGCAGTCCTGGACCCTCAAGTCCCACCAGCCCTCCTGACCCCTCTAATTCCCTCTCCCTCATCTGCCCCTCAAGCCCAGCTCATACACCCAGCCTGAGCCCCTCACCTGACTCTCCCCAGTCTCCAAAAGCAGGAGACATGCACGTGAGGGTGTCCTACAGTTCCTGGAAAAGGAGTCGGCAAAAGAGGACAAGAGACAGGAGGACTTCAATAAACAGACTGAACGTTTAGTTTCGGCATTTGAGAAAATGGTGGATAAAATGTGATTTCTTTTTCATTTTTATCAATGAAATATGCTGGAATTTATTTTGTCTTAGATACAGTAAACGGGGCGTCGGTGGCTTAGTGGTAGAGCAGGTGCCCCATGTACATGGCTGTTGCCACAGCAGCCCGGGTTCGACTCCAGCCTGTGGCCCTTTGCTGCATGTCCTTCCCTCTCTCTCTCCCCCGTTCACGCTTAAGCTGTCCTATCCATTAAAGGCTAAAATGCCCAAAAAATATCTTGCTTTTGTTTTTTCTTGGAAATTATCATTTTGTCCAGTGAATTTAAGTTATTCAGAGCAAAAATAAAATTATTTGTGCTGGGACCTTGTTTCATGGACTGGTTTATTTGTCAGGGACAATGCAAAAAGGAAAGAGACACATTCTAGATGTGCATGGATCAGTACATAATAGGTTACATCAAATCAAACTTGCTTTATATAGCACTTTTCATACAATAAAAATGCAACACAAACTGTTTCACAGAATTAAACAAAGTGCTCCACAAAATGTGGAGGTCACAATGACCTTGAAATGTTCAGAAATAATCATGCTCCTGCAGGTGCTGTGGAAGGAGGGCAGGTGCAGACAACTGGGCAGCTATCCTTTCCTTGCTGTGATGTCCAGATGTTTCAGCTCTGCCAGGTGCGACATGGAGGGTAACTGGGTGGTCTTCGGGTTCAATGTCCTCCATCTCCAAGATGTCATCTGTCTTAAGGCACAGATTGTGCAAGAAGGCACAACAGGCTGGAGCAAAGGCTGGACTGACCTCCAGTGCCTTGAAAAGCATGGCCCTCCATCGCGCTTTCATCATTCAAGGGCACGTTCAACCACTGAACATGCCCTTGAATGATGGGTGTTGTAACGCTCCTGTACCTGACCCTGTAGAGGCAGTTTGTATGGTGTGATGAGTGAAATCGGCTTTTCCAGACATGGATAGCCACCATCTGCCAGGAGGGAAAAGCCCGCTGGTGGGTCGAGTGCCTGGCTGAAGATGGGGGTATTTCTCAGGACCCTGGCATCATGCACAGACCCCAGGTACCCCACAAACATGTCCAGAAATCTGCCGGTTGTGTCACAGATGGCTTGCAGTTGTATTGATGGAAATAACTTGTAGTTTATGTAATCTGCACGATGTTGGTTACCTGGTGGTTT